GGACTCCCCTGTAGACTTTGGGGTGGAGGAGGATTGAGCAACCCTTGCCAAAATGTGCTGGGTGGTGGTTGTGCCACCAGGGAAGTGGGGGCCAGCACCAATGGGGAGCTTGGTGCCACCAGAGACCTGGGTGCCATCATCACCAGAGAGCTGGCTGCCAGTGCCACCAGAGAGCTGGGTGCCATCATCACCACAGACCTGGGTGTCATCACCAGAGATCTGGGTGCCAGCACCACTGGGGATCTGGGTGCCAGTGCCACCAGAGATCTGGGTGCCAGCACCAATGGGGAGCTTGGTGCCACCAGAGACCTGGGTGCCATCATCACCAGAGATCTGGGTGCCAGCACTGATGGGGAGCTTGGTGGCAGTGCCACCAGAGATCTGGGTGCCATCACCACTGGAGAGCTGGCTGCCAGTGCCACCAGATATCTGGGTGCCACCACCACTTAAACCTGGGTGCCACCACCACTGGAGATCTGGGTGCCATCACCAGAGATCTGGGTGCCAGCACCACTGAAGATTTGGGTACCAGAACTGATGGGGAGCTTGGTGCCAGTGCCACCAGATGTCTGGGTGCCACCACCACTGGAGATCTGGGTGCCAGCACGGCTGGGGAGCTGGGCACCAGTGCCACCAGACGTCTGGGTGCCACCATCACCGGAGATCTGGGTGCCACCACCGTCAGAGAGCTGGCTGCCAGCACCACCGGAGAGCTGGCTGCCAGTGCCACCAGACATCTGGGTCCCACCAGACATGTGGGTGCCACCACCACTGGAGACCTGGGTGCCAGCACTGATGAGGAGCTGGGCACCAGTGCCACCAGAGACCTGGGTGCCACCACCACCAGAGATCTGGGTGCCACCACCACCAGAGACCCAGATGCCAGCACCACCAGCCCCGACTCCGTCACAGCGCCCCAGCCAGCAGCACGCCGTGGGGCAGCCGTCCCCATTCCCAAATCCAGATGGGAGCTGGGGGCAGCGCTGCTTCCTGGGGGGCTTAAATAGACACCATCAGTCTGTCTGTGTGTCCCCCCCCCCGGCCAAAATCCCACTGTACCCCTGTGGGGACCCACACCCCGTTTGCCGTGGGGCTGAGGGGGCTGCATCCCTGAGGCCGCATCCTGCCGGCATGTGGGTGATGTGGGGAGGCGACGGGGGGGTGAAGGGCCCCTCATGGCCGGGGGGGTGTCCCCAACCCTCCCGCGGTGGCGGCGGCAGCGTGTGACCTTGCGGGGCCGACCGGCGGCCGCGGGCGAAGGACAAAGGGAGGCTGGGACCGGCTCTGCTGCTGTTCCTCGGGCAGGGCTGCCCCAC